GTGTGAGAGAGTGTATCAGTGAGTGAGTGTATGTGTGAGTGTGTGAGTGAGTAATGAGTGAGTAGGTGAGTGAGTGATGAGTGAGTGTATGAGTGAGTGAGTGTGTGAGTGAGTGTATGAGTGAGTGTATGAGTGAGTGAGTGTATGAATGAGTGTATAAGTGAGTGAGTGGGTGAGTGAGTGGGTGAGTGACACGAGCTAGAGAAGAGATGGAGTGATGTGGTACAGGAGGACGTGGAGCTGAGTGGACTTGCCAATAACCGGTACCAGCGGTGTCAAGATCGGCCTCTGTGGAGAAGGCTCGTGAAGGATGCTGCCAATGGGCAGTGCCAGGCTAGGTGCACGCTGAGGACGCTACTGGGCAGTTGGAGGCAGTCGCCCTCCAACAACAACGGAGGGCAGAGGAGCGACGCTCACAACAACGAGCGGAGCGCCGGGTGGCTAAAGCACAGCAGGTTGACACAGTAGGGGGCACAGGTGGTGCATCAGCCAGTCAGCTCAGTCAGTCGACCCGTGGCACCTGCTGGGTCTGTCACGTGACCACCTCCTAGTGCACCTAGCCTGGTACAGCAGTAGAACCCATGGCACCTGCTGGGTCTGTCACGTGACCACCTCCTAGTGCACCTAGTCTGGCACAGCAGCACAACCCATGGCACCTGCTGGGTCTGTCACGTGACCACCTCCTCGTGCACCTAGCCTGGCACAGCAGTGCAACCCATGGCACCTGTTGGGTCTGTCACGTGACCTCCACCTCGTGCACCTAGCCTGGCACAGCAGTCACGTGACCTCCTGCTGTTAATCGATTCTTCTGTCCCCCCACATGCCCCCCCTCTCCCACAGGGACCCGCCCCCAGCCCCACCCCTTCGACCAACGCCCCGCCCCTTCACGCGCCCCGCCCCCAGCCATCAGCCACGCCCACTTACGGCCAAGGCCACGCCTCTTCACGTTCGTAAGTCAGAACCCCTACCCCCAACCCCTACCCTCAACCCCTACCCCCAACCCCTACCCACAACCCCTACCCCCAACCCCTACCCACAACCCCTACCCACAACCCCTACCCCAAAACCCCTACCCCTACCCACAACCCCTACCCCCAACCCCTACCCCCCAAACCCCTACCACCTACCCCCCCTACCCCGAAGCCCCTACCCCCAACCCCTACCCCCAACCCTTACCCACAACCCCTACCCCCAACCCCTACCCCCTACCCCTACCCCAAACCCCTACCACCAACCCCTACCCACAACCCCTACCCCCAACCCCTACCCCTACCCCCCACCCCTACCCCCAACCCCTACCTCCAACCCCTACCCCCAACCCCTACCCCCAACCCCTACTCCAAACCCCTACCCCCTACTCCCACTCCCAACCCCTACTCCCAACCCCTACCCCCAACCCCTACCCCCAACCCCTACCCCCAACCCCTACCCCCAACCCCTACCCCAAACCCCTACCCCCAACCCCTAACCACAACCCCTACCCCCAACCCCTACCCCCCCTACCCCTACTCCAAACCCCTACCCCCAACCCCTACCCACAACCCCTACCCCCAACCCCTACCCCCAACCCCTACCCCTACCCCCCAACCCCTACCCTAAACCCCTACCCCCTACTCCCACTCCCAACCCCTACTCCCAACCCCTACCCCCAACCCCTACCCCCAATCCCTACCCCCCCTACCCCAACCCCTACCCCCAACCCCTACCCACAACCCCTACCCCCAACCCCTACCCCAAACCCCTACCCCTACCCCCAACCCCTACCCACAACCCCTACCCCCAACCCCTACCCCCCTACCCCCAACCCCTACCCCAAACCCCTACCCCCAACCCCTACCCCCAACCCCTACCCCCAACCCCTACCCACAACCCCTACCCCCAACCCCTACCCCCTACCCCTACCCCAAACCCCTACCCCTACCCCCAACCCCTACCCCCAACCCCTACCCCCAACCCCTCCCCACAACCCCTACCACCAACCCCTACCCCAAACCCATACCCCCAACCCCTACCCCAAACCCACACCCCTACCCCCAACCCCTACCCCCAACCCCTACCCCTACCCCAAACCCCTACCCAACCCCTACCCACAACCCCTACCCACAACCCCTACCCACAACCCCTACCCCCAACCCCTACCCACAACCCCTACCCCAAACCCCTACCCCCAACCCCTACCCACAACCCCTACCCCCAACCCCTACCCCTATCCCCCACCCCTACCCCCAACCCCTACCTCCAACCCCTACCCCCAACCCCTACCCCCAACCCCTACTCCAAACCCCTACCCCCTACTCCCACTCCTAACCCCTACTCCCAACCCCTACCCCCAACCCCTACCCCCAACCCCTACCCCAAACCCCTACCCCCAACCCCTACCCACAACCCCTACCCCCAACCCCTACCGCCCTACCCCTACTCCAAACCCCTACCCCCAACCCCTACCCACAACCCCTACCCCCAACCCCTACCCCCAACCCCTACCCTAAACCCCTACCCCCTACTCCCACTCCCAACCCCTACTCCCAACCCCTACCCCCAACCCCTACCCCCAATCCCTACCCCCCTTACCCCAACCCCTACCCCCAACCCCTACCCACAACCCCTACCCCCAACCCCTACCCCAAACCCCAACCCCTACCCCCAACCCCTACCCACAACCCCTACCCCCAACCCCTACCCCCTACCCCTACCCCCAACCCCTACCCCCAACCCCTACCCCCAACCCCTACCCACAACCCCTACCCCCAACCCCTACCCCCAACCCCTACCCCCAACCCCTACCCCCAACCCCAAACCCCAACCCCTACCCCAAACCCCTACCCCCAACCCCTCCCCACAACCCCTACCACCAACCCCTACCCCTACCCCAAACCCCTACCCCTACCCCCAACCCCTACCCCAAACCCACACCCCTACCCCCAACCCCTACCCCCAACCCCTACCCCTACCCCCAACCCCTACCCCCAACCCCTACCCCTACCCCAAACCCCTACCCCTACCCCCAACCCCTACCCACAACCCCTATCACCAACCCCTACCCCCACCCCCTACCCCTACCCCCAACCCCTACCCCCAACCCCCTACCCCCAACCCTTACCCCCAACCCCTACACCCAACCCCTACCCCTACCCCCTACCCCCAACCCCTACCCCTACCCCCAACCCCTACCCCCAACCCCTACCCCAAACCCCTACCCCTACCCCCAACCCCTACCCACAACCCCTATCACCAACCCCTACCCCCACCTCCTACCCCTACCCCAAACCCCTACCCCCAACCCCCTACCCCCAACCCTTACCCCCAACCCCTACACCCAACCCCTACCCCTACCCCCTACCCCTACCCCCACCCCCTACCCCTACCCCAAACCCCTACCACCAACCCCCTCACACCCCTACCTCCAACCCCCCCACCCCAACCCCTACCACCAACCCCCCTACCCTGAACCCCTACCACCACCACCCCCTACCCCAACCCCCACCCCTACCCACAACCCCTACCCCCCACCCCCCACCCCCACCCCTATTCACATGGGCGGCACGAACCGGTCGACCCCCACGGCGGAGTATCCCAGAGGCCCCGCCCCGCCCAGAGGCCCCGCCCCGCCCAGAGGCCCCGCCCCGCCCAGAGGCCCCGCCCCGCCCAGAGGCCCCGCCCCGCCCAGAGGCCCCGCCCCGCCCAGAGGCCCCGCCCCGCCCAGAGGCCCCGCCCCGCCCAGAGGCCCCGCCCCGCCCAGAGGCCCCGCCCCCCCCAGAGGCCCCACAGACGATGCGGCTGGGCTAGCCCGTGCAGCATCGTCTTCCTGTCCACCGGCACCGTGGTGGTGAGCGTGGTGAGGGTGGTGGTGAGCGTGGTGGTGAGGGTGGTGCAGGTGGTGAGGGTGGTGGTGAGGGTGGTAAGCGACAGGCGGAGCCCCGCCCGTGTACGCTGAGCCCAAGCCGCCCATGCCCAGGAGGCCAATGCCCAGGCGGCCGATGGCGACGATTTCATCGCCTCCGATGCCACCAACTCCAACTCCTCCTCCACCTCCTCCACCACCTCCTCCAACTCCTCCAACTCCAACTCCACCTCCACCACCTCCTCCAACTCCACCTCCTCCACCTCCTCCAACTCCTCCACCTCCTCCACCTCCTCCTCCAACTCCAACTCCACCTCCACCACCACCTCCACCACCTCCTCCAACTCCACCACCACCTGCTCCACCACCTCCTCCACCTCCTCCAACTCCAACTCCACCTCCTCCACCTCCACCACCACCTCCAACTCCAACTCCACCTCCACCACCACCTCCAACTCCAACTCCAACTCCACCTCCACCACCACCTCCTCCACCTCCTCCACCACCTCCTCCAACTCCACCACCACCTCCTCCAACTCCAACTCCACCTCCACCACCACAACCTCCACCACCTCCTCCAACTCCAACTCCACCAACTCCACCTCCACCACCACCTCCACCACCACCTGCTCCTCCACCACCGGCGACGTTCATGGTGGCCAAGATCTCAGGGGTGATGCTGCTGCTGCTGCCGCTACTGCTGCCAGCTCCCTGCGGTGAACAGCTGTCTACCGGCGGAGACAGCAGCAGCTGATGATGATGCTGATGATGCTGATGATCATTCTGCTGCTGCTGCTGCTGCTCCTGCTGCAGGATGAGGCTGTCGATGCTGAACGCCCGCGGGTAGTGATGCATCATTACAGCCGGATGCTGCTGCTGCTGATGCTGCTGCTGATGATGCTGATGATGTTGTTGCAGCTGATGCTGCTGCTGCTGATGCTGATGATGGTGCAGCTGCAACTGCAGCTGCTGCTGCTGCTGTTGCTGTTGCTGCTGAGCATGGTGAGATGCTAGGTGGTGGTGGTGGTGTTGGTGGTGTTGTTGGTGGTGTTGCTGTTGTTGAAGTTGTTGTTGCTGGTGGTGGTGGTGGTGAGCGAGCTGATGGTGTTGCTGCTGCTGCTGCTGCTGTTGTTGTTGCTGCTGGTGCTGGTGGTGGTGCTGCTGGTGGTGATGGTGATGGGGCAGATGCAGATGATGAGACAGATGATGTTGGTGGTGTTGGTGGTGGTGGTGGTGGTGGGCCAGGACCGGCGGATGAAGGAGCCCACCGCCGACTACAGCGACACCGCCGTAGGCCGAGGTCGCGACCCCGAGAGGGCCCGGCTGGTGGTGAGGCCCGGGGGCGATGGACGACGATGATGGGGACGAGGAAGCGGCGGCGGCGATGGACGAGGAGGTGGAGGAGGAGATGGCGGCGGCGGCGGCGATGGAGGATGACGAGGAGGAAGAGGAGGCGTAGAGGTGGTGCGGGTAGAGCGGGCGGCCGAGCTGAGCGGGTGTGAAGGCACTGGAGTCGTGGAGGAAGCCTGGGTAGGTGGTCACATCGCAGCGCTGGGTGGTGGCGGTGGTGGTGGTGGTTGGTGGTTGGTGGTGGTGGTTGGTGGTGGTGGGGAGATAGAGAGGGAGATGGATGGAGAGAGATGGAGAGAGATTGAGAGAGAGATTGAGAGATAGACAGAGAGAGATAGAGAGAGGCAGAGAGATAGAGAGACAGAGAGATAGACAGAGAGAGAGATAGAGAGACAGAGAGATAGACAGAGACAGAGAGACAGACAGAGAGATAGACAGAGAGAGATAGAGAGACAGAGATATAGACAGAGAGATAGAGAGACAGAGAGATAGACAGAGAGAGATAGAGACAGAGAGATAGAGAGATAGACAGAGAGACACAGAGACAGAGAGATAGACAGAGAGAGATAGAGAGACAGAGAGATAGACAGAGACAGAGAGATAGAGAGGCAGAGAGATAGACAGAGACAGATAGAGAGACAGAGAGATAGACAGAGAGATAGAGAGACAGAGAGATAGAGAGACAGAGAGATAGACAGAGAGAGATAGAGAGACAGAGGGATAGACAGAGAGAGCGATAGAGAGACAGAGATATAGACAGAGACAGAGAGACAGACAGAGAGATAGACAGAGAGAGAGATAGAGAGACAGAGAGACAGAGAGATAGACAGAGAGACAGAGAGATAGAGAGACAGAGAGATAGAGAGACAGAGAGATAGAGAGAGATAGAGAGACAGAGAGATAGAGAGACAGAGAGAGAGACAGAGAGAAAGACAGAGAGACAGAGAGACAGAGAAATAGACAGAGAGAGAGATAGAGAGACAGAGAGATAGAGAGACAGAGAGATAGACAGAGAGAGAGACAGAGAGACAGAGAGATAGACAGAGAGAGACAGAGAGAGATAGACAGAGAGAGATAGACAGAGACAGAGAGATAGAGAGACAGAGAGATAGAGAGACAGGGAGATAGAGAGACAGAGAGACAGAGAGATAGAGAGAGAGATAGACAGAGAGATAGACAGAGAGATAGACAGAGAGACAGAGAGATAGAGAGACAGAGAGATAGAGAGACAGAGAGATAGACACACAATGAGCCACACTACCACCCACCCACCCACAACCAAATCCACACCAAAACCACCCACCCATTCAGCCACCCACCAATCCCACCCAACCCACACCACCCACCAATACCACCACCACCAACACCACCCACAACAACAACAACAACCGCTATCCACCGCTAAGTAGCGTTGACGTCACCATGACGCTTGTGCCAGGCCATGTGCACGTTGAGGCCACGTGAAGTGTCGAACGCCCGCTGGCAGGAGGTCACGGGGCAGACCCAGCAGGTGCCACGGGTCGACTGACTGAGATGACTGGCCGATGCACCACCTGTGCCCCCTACTGTGCCAAGCTGCTGTGCATTAGCCACCCGGCGCTCCGCTCGTTGTTGTGAGCGTCGCTCCTCCGCCCTCCGTTGTTGTTGGAGGGCGCCTGCCTCCAACTGCCCAGTAGCAACGTCCTTCACGAGCCTCCTCCACAGAGGCCGATCTTGACACCGCTGGTACCAGTCATCGGCAAGTCCACTCAGCTCCACGTCCTCCTGTACCACATCACTCCATCTCTTCTCTAGCTCGTGCCGCGCCCGCTTAGCCCCCTCGATCCGGCCGAACAAAAGCTGTTTCGGCATACGGTGGCTGGGCATGCGGGCTACATAACCCAGCCAACGCAGCCTTGCCTGCCGTAGGAGTTCACCGATGAGATTTTGTCCAGATCTTTCAAGGATTTGTGAGCTCCTCACACAATCCAGCCTGGTTAAACCCAGCATGGATCGTAGGCAGGCCTATGCCTAAATGTTTCTAACCGGCGAAGATGCTCCGTTTGGGGGGTCAACGTTTCGCAAGCGTAGAGAAGGGAGGGAATGACCGTGGTCGAGAAGACCTGAAGCTTAGTGCGGAGCGACAGACCAGGTAGCTTCTAGGCAGCGTTACGCAACCGATGAGAAGATATTGCCGCTTGACTGATTCGGAGTTAGCCCTCTGCTGTCAAACTGGAGCCGTTCATGAGCACACTGCCCAGGTATGGGAAACTCTCCACTCTCTCCACAACACCTCTTAGTGGCAAGCTCCAGGTTCAGTAGCAGCGTCTCCAACTACTCCTCTGAGCGAACAGCAATAACCAGATCATCAGCATACATAACGTGGTTGAGCAATAGGGAGCCATCCCTTGACCGCACCCGGGCATCGATCAGCCTCCCATTATATCTGTACCAGATGGAAATTCCTACGGTACAGCCATCGAAGGCTTCACGAACAACGTGGTCAAAATAGATGTTAAGTAATGTGGGAGCCAGAGGACATCCCTGTCGCACCCGAAGGTGAACAGGGAATGGCTCCGACTCCCAGCCACGTAGCTTTACCCACCATTATGAAGGCCCTTAATTATCTATGAGCAGAAGGTCAGGCAATCCGAAAGCACGAAGAACAACCCAGAGCCCAGACCTACTGATGGTATCATAGGCCTTGACCAGGTCAATAAAGCAGAGATGTAGGTCTTGTTGGAATTCCCTACACCTCTGCTGTAGCAGACGGACAGAAAATATGGCATCCGTGGAGGACCGCCCTTTCCTGAAACCGCATTGGGGCTCCGAAAGCCTCTCCTCAGCGTGCCTGACAAGGCGATGTTGAATAATCCTTGCCAGGACCTTTCCCGGCACACTGAGGAGTGAGATGCCCCTGAAGTTGTTACAGTCTGTGCGGTCCCCCTTCCTAAAGAGGGGGACCGCCAGGGCATTCTTCCAATCCTGCGGAACCCGTCCAGTGGTCCAGACCGTTGTAATGATGTCATATAGGGCAGTCTGTGCACAAACGCCACCCTCCCTCAGCATTTCGCTTGGGAGATCATCTCTGCCCGGTGCCTTTCCTGAACTCAGACTCCGGATCGCCTTCAGTACTTCTTCAACAGATGGCACCTCAGCCAGCCACTCACAGGGGGTGACTTCTTCCTCCAATATTTGAGGCACCGCAGCCTCAGCAGGGTCATCCCCACTTTGCCCCATTTTCCAGGCTGAGGGATTTCCCATCCCACAGGACCTTACAGAAATGCTCAGCAAATCTGCAAACCTGTTCCTGGGGGTTGAAGATTGGATCACCGTTCTTTCTCCTAACGATGCTAATAGGTGTGTCGCTGCAGGTTACTTTTTTGATGGAATTAAATAGAGATTTGTGATCGCGGGCCACTGAGGCAGATTCCATCTCCTCAATAATCTGCGACCACCACACATCACGGCTCTCCGAACCTCCGAGCGAAGGCTGCGGTAAGCCTCCTCATTCTCTGCCGTGGGATGCTGTAGCCGATGACAGTGGGCCTGTCGCTTTTTCTCAGCCAGCCTGAACACCTCCTCTGTCAGCCAGGGTCTCTGGGGAGGTCTGGACTGCGTACCCAAAGCAGCCATTGCAGCTGCATGAGCCACAGTCCTAAACCTTGCCCATTTACCCTCGACATCAGGAGGAGTGGGGGACGATGCCAACCCCAGCCGAAAGCGATGATTAAATTCTCGCTTGCAAGTTCCATCAGATAACTGAGACCAGGCCACTATAGGTTGGAATGGGGTCCTGGGTGTACACCCACCACCGGAGTGGAAGAACAGCGTGTTGGTAATTACAAGCCCATGGGCTGCACAAAAATCTAGCAGCCTCCTACCGTTGTTATTGAGCTGATCTGGCCCATGCCCTCCAATCACTCCAGACCAGGTGCCAGCATCATGACCAACTCGGGCATTGAAGTCACCCAACAAGATGACTCTATCCCGAGGGGCCACTTTAGCCAGCACCTGTGACAGGAGGTCATAGAAGGCATCTGACTCATCGGCTTTGCCTGCATCCCTCCACGGATGTTCGTCTTCGGTGGGGGCATAAGTAACAACGACCACCACTCCTCGCCTCCGGTTGATGGGAAGGCGAGCCCAAATTAGCCTGGGGCTTACAGCTTCCCACACCTCACCGCCACGCTCCAACGCCCCCTTCATTATTTTGTTCATAAGAAGAGCCACACCCTGTTGTTTGGCAGTCTGCTGCCCCGAGTAGAGGACTGTCCACCCCTCATGGTGGCAGGAGCCAGAGCCGGTCCACCGGGCCTCCTGAATGCCACAGAGATCCAGGCGGTACCGGTCCAGCTCCCGACAGAGGAGTGGCAGCCTCTCCTCCGCAGTGAACGTTCCAACATTCCACGTGGCCACACGAAGTGGCTTTTCGTTGTTTCTGGAGGAGCCCCGAGGGTAGAGATTCAATCTCCTGGCTCCGCCAATTGGGGTTTGGCCAGGAGACGTCATAGACGCCTGGCCCCCCGGGGCCTCCGGCACAAGCTTATTAGTTAACATATTTATTTTCGTGGTTTCGTGGTAATTTATTGAAGGTGGAGGGGTTACCAGCCCCTCGCACCCGTCCAGAGCCCCCGTTTAGCCCCTGTGGTGGTCACAGACGCCATGAGGGGAGGAGCCAGGAATTGGCTCCTCCCTCACCAAACGGCACCGCCCACCACAGCGTTGCCTTCAGGCACCAGCGAGGAGATAGGGAGTTGGTTTTGCCGGACACTACCACACCACACTCACACCACCACCCACCCACTCACTCACTCACCCACTCATCCACTCACCCACTCACTCACTCACCCACCCACCCACCCAATCACTCACTCACTCACCCACTCATCCACTCACCCACTCACTCACCCACCCACCCACCCACTCACCCACTCACTCACTCACTCACCCACTCATCCACTCACCCACTCACCCACCCACCCACCCAACCAATTCATACTCTCACTCACCCACTGACCACTCACCAACCCACCTACTCAATCACCCAATCACTCACTCACCCACCCACCGACACATTCACCCACCCACACATTCATCCACTCACTCATTCACTCACTCACCCATCCACTCATTCACCCATTCACCCACTCACACGTTCATCTACTCGCTCAATCATCCACTCACTTACTCATCGACGCACTCACCCACTCATCCAGTCATCCAATCATCCACCAACCCACCCACCCATTCACCCACTTAACCACCCACACACTCACCCACTCACTCACCCACCCACTCACTCATCCACCCATCCACCCACTCACTCACTCACCCACCCACTCACTCACTCACTCACTCACCCACCCACCCACCCACTCACTCACACACCCACCCACTCACTCACCCACTCACTCACTCACTCACCCACTCACTCACTCACTCACCTACTCACCAACTCATCCACCCACTCACCCACTCACCCACTCACTCGCCCACCCACCCACCCACTCACCCACCCACCCACTCACCCACCCACTCACCCACCCACCCACCCACTCACCCACTCACTCACCCACTCACCCACTCACCCTCCCACCAACCCCACCAAACCCACTCACCCAACCACCCACCCACGCATCCACCCACCCACTCACCCACTCACCCTCCAACCCACCCACCCACTCACCCACCCACCCACCCACCAACTCACCAACCCCACCCACCCACCAACCAACCACCCCCACGCACCTTGAACCTCTTCCTCCGCCGCAGGAACGACCCGTTGTCAAACATGTCCTCGGCGGCCGGATCCAGGGTCCAGTAGTTCCCCTTGCCGGGCCTTCCGGGCTCCCGGGCCACCTTTACGAAACAGTCGTTGAGCGTCAGGTTGTGCCTGATGGAGTTCTGCCACTTCTTGGGGTTGTCGCGGTAGAAGGGGAACCTTTCCGTGATGAAACGGTAGATCCCGCCCAGGGTGAGCCTACGCTCCGCCGAGTTGGCGATGGACATGGCGATGAGCGCGATGTACGAGTACGGCGGCTTTCCCCGCTGGACCGGGCGCTTGCGGCGACGGCCGCCGGTGGTGGTGGTGGTGGTGGCGGAGGAGGTGGATGTGGATGTGGAGGAGGGGGCGATGAGGCCCGGGGCGGTGGTGGTGCCGGTGGTGGTGCCGGTGGTGGTTGTGGAGGAGCTGGGACCTGGACGGGGTGGAGCGGGAGGTGTTTGGGGAGGGTGGCGAGTTTATTCGGCGGTGGGAAATTGGTGAAACGATCACACAGCCGGCGACGGCGGCGGCGGCGGCGGTAGCGGCGGCAACGCCGGCAGCAACAACACCAAGAACACCATCAACACCAACACCACCATCACCTTCAACACCAACAACACCACCACAAACACCTCCACCACCACCACCATCACCTCCACCACCAACAACACCAACAACAGCATCAACACCACCAACAACACCAAGAACACCATCAACACCAACACCACCAACAACACCACCACCAACAACACCACCACCAACAACACCACCACCAACAACACCACCACCAACAACACCACCACAATCACCTCCACCACCACCAACAACACCAACACCACCACAAACACCTCGACCACCACGATCACCTCCACCACCACCAACAACACCACCATCACCTCCACCACCACCATCACCTCCACCACCAACAACACCACCACCAACACCTCCACCATCACCTCCACCACCACCATCACCACCACCACCAACAACACCACCACCAACACCTCCACCATCACCTCCACCACCAATAACAACACCAACAACACCATCACCTCCACCAACAACACCAACAACACCATCACCTCCACCACCAACAACACCACCACCAACAACACCAACAACACCATCACCACCAACAACACTACCACAAACACCTCGACCACCACCATCACCTCCACCACCACCACCATCACCTCCACCACCACCATCACCTCCACCATCAACACCAACACCACAAACACCTCCACCACCACCACCATCACCTCCACCACCAACAACACCAACAACAGCATCAACACCACCAAGAACACCAAGAACACCATCAACACCAACACCACCAACAACACCACCACCAACAACACCACCACCAACAACACCACCACCAACAACACCACCACCAACAACACCACCACAAACACCTCCACCACCACAATCACCTCCACCACCACCAACAACACCAACACCTCCACCATCACCTCCACCACCACCATCACCTCCACCACCAACAACACCACCACCAACACCTCCACCACCACCATCACCTCCACCACCACCATCAGCTCCACCACCACCAACAACACCAACAACACCATCACCTCCACCACCAACAACACCACCACCAACACCTCCACCACCACCACCACCTCCACCAACACCACCAACACCAGCAACACCACCAACACCACCACCACCACCACCACCACCAACAACACCACCACCAACAACACCACCACCAACAACACCACCAACAACAACACAACCATTACCTCCACCAACAACACCACCAACACCACCAACACCAGCAACACCAACACCACCAACACCACCAACAACAACACCACCAACAACAACACCACCATCACCTCCACCAACAACACCACCAACACCACCAACAACACCAACATCACCACCACCAAAACCACCAACACCTCCACCACCAGCAACAACACCACCACCACCATCACCACCATCACCACCATCACCTCCTGCTAGTTCGATGGAATATTCACAGGTTGTTCAATCACTCACCCACTCACTCACCTACTCAACCACTCACTCACCCACCCACACACCCACCCACTCACTTACCCACCCACTCACCCATCCACCCACTTACCCACCCACCCACTCACCCATCCACCCACTTACCCACCCACCCACTCACCTACCCACCCACCCATTCACCTACTCACTCACTTACTCACTCACCTACTCAACCACTCACTCACCCACTCACTCACCCACCCACTCACCTACTCAACCACTCACTCACCCACTCACTCACCCACTCACTCAACCACTCACTAACCCACCCACCCACTCACCTACCCACCCACCCACTCACCTACTCACTCACCTACTCACTCACCTACTCAACCACTCACTCACCCACTCACTCAACCACTCACTAACCCACCCACCCATTCACCTACCTACCCACTCACCCATCCACCCACTTACCCACCCACCCACTCACCCATCCACCCACTTACCCACCCACCCACTCACCTACCCACCCATTCACCTACTCACTCACCTACTCACTCACCTACTCAACCACTCACTCACTCAACCACTCACCTACCCACCCACCCATTCACCTACCCACCCACTCACCTATCCACCCACTTACCCACCCACCCACTCACCCATCCACCCACTTACCCACCCACCCACTCACCTACCCACCCACCCATTCACCTACTCACTCACCTACTCACTCACCTACTCAACCACTCACTCACTCAACCACTCACCTACCCACCCACACACTCACCTACCCACCCATTTACCTACTCACTCACCTACTCACTCACCTACTCACTCACCTACTCACCCACTCACTCACCCACTCACTCAACCACTCACCTACCCACCCACCCACTCACCTACCCACCCACCCATTCACCCACCCAATCACCAGCATCACCACCAACTCATTTCCTCACCCGGAGCTGTTGACGATGCTGCTGCTGATGCTGATGATGATGCTGCTGCTGATGATGCTGATGATGATGATGATACACACGCCAGGCCAAGCGCGGACGAGATGGAGGAGGTGGATGGAGATTCTGGTATACGTGGGGACAGACACAGACAACAACAACAACCGCTATTCGCCACTAAGTGGCGGTGACGTCACTACGACGCTTGTGCCAGGCTATGTGCACCTTGAGGCCACGTGAAGTGTCGAACGCCCGCTGGCAGGAGGTCACGGGGCAGACCCAGATGCCACGGGTCGACTGACTGAGATGACTGAGATGAGTGGCTGATGCACCACCTGTGCCCCCTACCGTGCCAACCTGCTGTGCTTTAGCCACTCGGCGCTCCGCTCGTTGTTGTGAGCATCGCTCCTCCGCCCTCCGTTGTTGTTGGAGGGCGACTGCCTCCAACTGCCCAGTAGCAGCGTCCTTCACGAGCCTCCTCCACAGAGGCCGATCTTGACACCGCTGGTATCGGTCATCGGCAAGTCCACTCAGCTCCACGTCCTCCTGTACCACATCACTCCATCTCTTCTCTAGCCCATGCCGCGCCCGTTTTGCCCCCTCGATCCGGCCAAACAAAAGCTGTTTGGGCATGCGGTGGCTGGGCATGCGGGCTACATGACCCAGCCAACGCAGCCTTGCCTGTCGGAAGAGCTCACCGATGGGACCTTGCCCAGATCTTTCAAGGATCTGTGAGCTCCTCACACAATCCAGCTTGGTTAAACCCAGGATGGATCGTAGGCAGGCCAGTCTAAATGTTTCTAATCGGCGAAGATGTTCCATTCGGGGGGTCCACGTTTCGCAAGCGTAGAGAAGGGAGGGAATGACCGTGGCCGAGAAGACCTGAAGCTTAGTGCGGAGCGACAGACCAGGTAGCTTCCACACAGCGTTACGCAACCGATGAGAAGATATTGCCGCTCGACTGATTCGGAGTGAGACCTCTGCTGTTAAACTGGAGCCAGTCATAAGCACACTGCCCAGGTATGGGAAACTCTCCACTCTCTCCACAACTGCCCTATCACCAATTGGGAGTTGTGGGGATGGAGTGTCCGATGGTACAAAATACCCAGGCAGGTGCGCCTCTAACTCCTCCGTTGAGTGAGCAGCAAATACCAGATAATTGACATACCTAACATGGTTTAGCAATAGGGAGCCATCCCTTGACCGCACCTGGGCATCGATCAGCCTCCCATTGTATCTGTACCAGATGGAAATTCCTCTGGTACAGCTAATTCACGAATTACGTGGTCAAAATAGATGTTAAATAATGTGGGAACCAGAGGACATCCCTGTCGCACCCCAAGGTGTACAGGGAATGGCTCTGACTCCCGACCACACAGTTTTACCCGGGCACGCTCACTATCATGAAGGTCCTTAATGATCGTGAGCAGAGGGTCAGGGACTCCAAAAGCACGAAGAACAACCCAGAGCCCAGGCCTACTGATGGTAATATAGGCCTTGACCAGGTCAATAAAGCAGAGTTGTAGGTCTTGTTGGAATTCACTACACCTCTGCTGTAGCAGACGGACAGAAAACATGGCATCTGTGCAGGACCGCCCTTTCCTGAAACCGCATTGGGGCTCCGCAAGCCTCTGCTAAGCGTGCCTGGAAAGGCGATGTTGAATAATCCTTGCCAGGACCTTTCCCGGCACACTGAGGAGTGAGATGTCCCTGTAGTTGTTACTGTCTGTGCGGTCCCCCTTCTTAAAGAGGTGGTCCTCCTTCTTAAAGAGGGGGACCACCAGGGCATCCTTCCAATCCTGCGGAACCCGTCCAGTGGTCCAGACTGTTGTTAATGATGTCATATAGGGCAGTCTGTGCACAAACGCCACCCTCCCTCAGCATTTCGCTTGGGAGATCATCTCTGATCTCAGACTCCGGATCGCCTTCAGTACTTCCTCAACAGATGGCACCTCAGCCAGCCACTCACAGGGGGTGACTTATTCCAATATTTGAGGCACCGCAGCCTCAGCAGGGTCATCCTCACTTTGTCCCACGATGTTATCCAGGCTGAGGGATGTCCCCTCCCCCAGGACCTCACAGAAATGCTCAGCAAAAGCTGCATGAGCCACAGTCCTAAACCTCGCCCATTTCACTTCGACATCAGAAGGAATGGGGGACGATGCCAACCCCAGCTGCAAGCGATGATTAAATTCTCGCTTGCAACTTCCATCAGCTAACTGAGACCAGGCCACCAAGGGGTTGAATGGGGTCCTGGGTGTACACCCACCTTTGGAGTGGAAAAATGGCAGGCGCATATTACAGATGACAAGTCGATGGTCATTGGGCAGATCAGTTCCACGGTAGGTCCTGGTGTCAAGGACATGGGCCCG